TCAGACGTGTGCTCTTCCGATCTCCCCAAAACCCCAAAACCCCACAGTTTAAGAAAAAAGACAAATCTGGAAATAAATCAAAATAAATTGAGAGAAGTTTAAAATCTCATAACATATTTAGTATTGTCATTATTATTAATCACTGAAGTAAATTCAAACTATGTCTTTACCCATTTTAATTTCTCAAATGAATTGATTGAATTTTGGAGAATTGAGTTTAGAGTAGACTTTTTTGATTTTGAAAAAATTGTTGCTGAATTCCATATCTTCGAGTTGCAAATCATCTAGGTTTACCATCGTCCTTTTTTGCCTTCTGATTTCATTGGCAATAAAGCTATTATGGCTATGTGTATCTTAGTCCTCATTATCATTGTTATCCATGTAGTCTATACTTGAGTCCTCCATCACAATATTGTTATTATTTGCTTTTTAAAGCGTGCCTGTGAGATTCATGCTTTTTTTCTTAGAATCCATAGTCTTATTGAACAGTTGAGCATCCCTTTGATTAGAAGAGAGCTTTTTAAAGTCAGGAAACTTATCTTAGAGCATTTATATTATTATTGAACGCTCTTTTTTCTTGGGTCTTTCTACTTGCACAGTCTAGAATTCATTAGTACTTTCTCTTCTCTTCTAGATACTTTTAAGCAATCTTGCTTAATTAGGTTTTGAGGATACCACTACCCCTTAATTGCTTGGATTGTTATTCATGCTTGACTCTTTATCAATAGTATTATTGTTTTGTGGTTAAGGTGACTGTCTTGCACTTGTCGGGTTAGAAGTTCTTTTGTTGTTTGTTTGTTAAACCACATGTACATTATGCAATACTAAAGATATATTTTATGAGGCATTGGTACCTAAGATTTCTTTTTGTTTTTATCCTTATTTTTGATTAGATTGCTATTGAACTTATTTCTAGTTTTGATTATTTTGCAATTGATGCCCGACTTTATTTAAAGTGATAGGAGGCATTTTTGAGGGGGGCTAAGGGCTAATATGCTGTTTATTTAGGTTATTATGCTATTGATCTTATTCATGATTTAATGGGCTTTGAATCTATGTGGCTTGTGATTGTATTTCTTTTTCAGCTTGCTTTATAATATCATGTGTATTCTACTGCATCAAATAGAGTCCTTCTAGATTTATAGGAGCATTTGGATGCTCAAAATTGTTGTTCATTTAATTAAAGCTATCAAAGACCTTACTGACATTTTTCTTGAAATTCTTTTGGAATATGTTCTCATCTCTCTCGAACTACTTCATTTCTCTGCTGTATTGCTAAAATTTTACCATTTCTAGTCTTCTTTTATCTTCTTTGTTTAAGAGCAACTATTGCTATTCTAACTCATGCTATCTCTTAATAGCTTCTTTTCTGCGATCCTCGAGCATTTTATCATGCAATAGTAGTTTAGTGTTGATACCCCTCGTTTAATGATCTATATAATCAACTTCTGGCTGTTTGATAGAGGCCATTTAAAGCTAAAGTGAAGCTTGATCTAAAGTGAATCCAAAATTTGAACTAGATGTATTTTGCATTTGAAGCTGCTTCTTTACATATTTCCTTGAAAATCTCTTGCTGATGTAGCTTAGGTTCTTATCTTATCTTAGAGTTGAAAGTGCCTCTTCATAGGAAACATGATATTTGAAGTCTGGCATTCTCAATTAGTCATTCAGCTGAATAATATTCTGCAAAAATATCCCTAGGTCTATAAGGAATTAAAAAACTATGCTTTTACCCTAAAACAAGACTAATGTTTCTACGTCATATTTTTTAAAAGGTTTGGAATCCAACACTTGCTAACTCAGGATCATACTGTAATCCACACTTTTTCTCATGATACCTGCTGCTTTCCGAGATACTTGTCCTTATCCTCCATTAATAAATTTGCCTCCTCTAAAACTACCGCTCATCTTAGGTTCTTATTGCGATACTTTTTGTTTTTAAGCAGCAAGTATGGCTAGAGCTTAAAATTCATTTTAATCTTGCTAAGTGATTAATCAAAGCAATGCTTACAGATGCTCCATTAGGATCAATTTGTTTTTAGGCATATCGATTTACAATCTTTTAAAAAAATGGATCAATATACCTATTCTGACTGATGAACACTATTGGGACATGGGAATCCTCTATAGGTTCATGGAATCTTATCATTCTAAATATCTCATGCATCACAAAGCAGGATCTAAAATTTTATTAATAAATAGTAAATTACCTTATGATAATGGATGAGAGTGTAGTCTATACTTTTGCATTGAAATTGTTGAACTTTTATAATGCTTCTATGTAGACCTGACCTTTCTTTTGATTTTCAGCTAGAAATTTCAACCCATTCAAAGTCTCTTTCTTGTCAAAGTCCAATAGTATCATTCCATAATCTTCAAGCATTTTGGCATCTCTTTCCAGCACATCTCTGAAACCTTAGTACTATTCTATGATAGCTCTTTTCCTCTCTATATTTTCTACCAAATCCTCATACGATTTGCAGTTCGAATCTATCTTCATTTGTATATCTTGATACCTATTCCTTAGAAATTCATCGTCTGGTAGTGCCATATTTTCCTAGTAAAATTTTTGAAAATGGTCTTCATATGCCTTAAACACGCTCATTTTCTTTTAAGATACAGCTATTTCTTGACTTTTAAACTCTGGAGGCCTATCACTTATTGCTTTTTCTTTTATTTTTTATAGATTTTTCATGCTTTGCTGCATTTAATCTTAGTCTTGACTCAGAGCTACTTAAAGAAGGGACTCTTCTAATAGCTATAGAACTTCTGCTCCTGAAATTATTTTAAACTCATTGTTTTTATTTTAGATTTTTTCTAAAAACTCATTTTTTTACAGCTCCAAATCCTCATTTCTGTCTTTAAGGTCATTCAAGTACTCCTGAATCTCAGATAATCTCTTTTATCTCTTATTAATAGCATTTTGAATCTTTTCAATGCTCTTGGCCTCATATTTCAAGGCATTAACTCTGCTTGTTAGGATATCTAGATAAAAATGCCTCTTTTCTTCCAGTTATATCTTTCTCTAGCCTAGCAAGTTAAATGAAATGATTCTTCTCGAATTATTAAGCATCTTGAGTCTTTTAAAACTTTTCCCTGCCTTTTCATAGTTATTATATTAAGGCATCATTTCATTCATTCTGAGATCATCTGCAATTTTTTAATCTCTTTCCTTTGCTTTCATTGACTCTAGCTACTCACTTATTTACCCTTCAAGCCCAATTGATTGCTGTAACTTCCCCAATTTATCTCTGAGCTTATTCCTACGCTCTATTAAAATCTCTAAGTCAATATGAGAAGAGTAAAGAACGAGTGAGCTGTTATGGCTAGAAGCTATTTTGGATTGTATAGATTATCCAGAATTAATGAGAGATAAATCAAGTAGAGAGGCGCTAGTTTACTTCTTTGGAGAGTTAAATTAAGATTTTGATGCACTTATGGATTCCTACAACAATCTTGCACTATTTTGGTTTGGAGAATTTTGCAAATTTGTATAAGCAGATTAAGTTTGCTATTGACACAGCCCATTATCATTTATTGCAGGTAAAGTCTTATCATTTTGCAACTTTATCTATTCTAATTCTTTTTATAGGCTTTTCAGTTGTCTTTCTTTTTTAAGTACTTCAAATCTTTCAATGTCATAAAGTCTAGTGAACTAGATAGAATTTGTTTAGTTAAAGCAATACTTACTTTTAAAAGATTTGTTTTGCTTTTCCTTTAAAGATAATCACTTTGCATTGCAGTGAAAAAATTGAGATTTCTTAACTTAGTGATTGAGTAATTATTATTTAAAGAGGCACGGGCACTAAGACTGCCGCTTAATTGTTGCTGTTATATGGTCCCGTCACGTCTGTTGAGATAAGGTTTATTCTTTGGTGAGCCGTTGAAGCTTTAGTAGAATGGATTTTTATCAGCAGATCTCAAATGTCTGTTAGTTTGATTGCCCAAGCCAGCTCCATTTAACCCGTGTAAATTAACTGATGAAGCATTAATCATAGATGTAAATTGCTCATTCTCAGACTTGCCAGCAGAAGTTTCCCTTCTTAGACTTATGAATTTCTGATTTCTAACAAACTGAGATGACCTCACTGGAGGTGAAATAGGGGTGAAATCTTTGAACTTCTGAGAATCTTGATTTGTGTTGTTGGTGTTCATTTCACTGAACCTGAACTGCAAACCCACAGCCTTTTCACTTGACAGTCCCTAGATGTTATGGTTGCTCGCGCTATTCAGTGATGAAAATTCTCGACTTTTGTCGTTTGTCTCGATTTCTAGAGGGTTCCCATTCTAGATTGACTGCAATCGACGATGGAAAAATCTGCGCTGATGCAGACTATTGGCGCTTTCCGAATTTTTTTAATCCATTGATCTATCCATATAACTTTGATGATACTACACAATTATTTCTTCTATAATAAAACCTATTTGAGATTTATTAATTTTATTCTTAATTTTTTTGATTAGTTAAAAAAGTTTAATAAAGCAATCAATATTTAATCTATACTATTTAACATTAATAACTATTTTGTCGTTATCTGCTACACTTGGCCCAATTACCTTGCTTGACTCTAATCATATCATGAACTTTGACTTCCAAGGTTAATCATCACTAAGAATCTTTGAAGTAGTAGCCTCGAAATCGTCGAACATTTTATGATTGTTGTTATTCTATAATTAAACCAATAAATATCAATTAAACTCATCATGAGCATAAAGCGGAATAAGATTATCAATCTTATTATCTGAATATTATAGTTATTAACTTACAATTGAACTCTTTTTATGTTCATAGTTGGCTATAGTTTTCTTTTATTTGCATATCTCAACTGCAAGTCTCTCTTTTTCCTTTTGAATAAGCACTATAGCATTCCTTAAATCAGTCACGTTCTTGCTTATATTAGAAATTCTTATGTTTTCAAACTTAATGTTTTAACAGATCTGGGCTTTCTTAATTTCCATCTAGTCTTGATCTTCCTCTATTTATCTGACCTACTGCCTTAGAACGTTAATTTCACGGATGCTTTCACTAGACTTGCTACGTTTGTGTGAGATTTTTTAATTAAGCTAGTCGCATTGGTTATTGTACCTTGGAATGTCATTGTCTACCTTTTACTTTTCCTTTCGAATTTTCTAAAGCTCAGCTTTCAAGTTCTCTACTTTTTTCATCAAGTCTTTCTTGTCCTTCAAAGCCTCTTTGTGCTTCCTCTGATTTTCATTGATTTCATTGGTAACTTTCTGAGTTGAGGACTCAATCTTCTAGAAAATTTGGCCAGCATTATTTGAATTGCTTGCATTAGAGTTAGTCTGAAACTTGGAGGTTTATCTTAAAGTGGAAGAACTTAGAGTGCAAGAAAATACACTATTTTTGTTTTCCTTAAGAGCATTATTGCTTGAGGACCTGTAGCTGAAGAGTTTTTAATCTTGATTGTTCTGACCACTGTTACTTGAAGATGCAAAGCTAGGTGAGGGTTAATTCTAGTATCTTGTCTCTGCTTTAGTAGGACTCTTACTACTATTTTATGTTAAACTCATATAAAATTCTTACGATAAAGGCCTGCTTGGAGTGTTTTCTCTAGTCTCAAGTCTCATAGTACTTTGGCTTTGATTGGTGGAATTCTTCTGAAATTATGACATTTAGTTAAATGATTTGGAGTTGTTAACATTGTTGAAGGAATAATTAGTTGATTAAGACGTTAGCTATTGATTAGTTGATCTCTCTCCTAGAACTCTCTTTGACGTATTGGCTTTAAACAAGCTCTGATACATGCTTGGAGTATTTGACTTAGACTTTTGATGTGAAACAATTCGTCGATTATCAACTGACTAGAGTTAATTTGATTATCTTTTAATTTAAGCTTGCTCTTTCAAGTTTTTCTCCTCGTCGTAAGACACTCTTAGATTGCATATCTCCGAGCTATTTAGAAAGTCTAAGCAATCATCTGGCTAGTAGTTAGGAAACTCTCTGATTGAACTAAGCCTAGAAAGGGGAAGTGAGTTAATGTCCAATGATTAGTCAGCTGTTAAAGATGGTCGCTGCATTTTAAAACTATTAAATTATCAACTGATATATTAAGCTCAAAATAAATCAATTAAAATCTCTAAGGGAGATATTTTAATAAATCATATAACAATTAGCAATGGAAAAACACCAATAGCATTCCAATCTTTTGTCAAAAAACCAGGGCAGCTCTTCTAATATATCAGTGTATGAGACCACAGGATTCTCTCATCAATACTAGAGTCCCCATTTCAACGCTAGAAACTATCAATCAGACTACTCTAACAGCTAAGTCTTAGATAATGGAAAAAATAGCAACAACTAAACTAATGGCTCATTTGAGATAAATCATTAGCATTAGCTTTATCAGCAGTTGTAGCATCAACAGCAATCTTAAAACCTAAATTAGTAGATGTTCAACAATGGTGTAGAGTTTGATAAGATTTTCCAGAAAGACTACTTTGAGGATGCCCTAAGAACGCCTGACATGAGCAACAGTAACGTGACATCTTTTATGTCCAGCCCATAGTGAACACTGAATAATAATAATGAGTTTATGCAGATTTAGCAGTAACTTAAGCAATCCTAGCCTAGTAATAACCAAATAACAGGCATTGTTGAAGATGAGGTAAGCTTATATATTTATAAGTAACTCTATATAGTAAATTCTAGAATCGATGAATCAGCTGCTTTAAGCAGTGAACTCTTTGAAACTTGTTGCTAATGAAGATCCATCTTCTAAAAAATAATCTCAAATGAAAAAAATAGATCCAAAATCTGATATAAGTCCCTCCAAAAATCTTAAGAAAGATATTAGTCCTAAATCTAAGAAAAGTGGTTTTTCAAAGTACCTAAATGTTAATCAAACTTCAGAAAACAGCTCTAAGAAAGATAAATAAAAAGGAGGGTATAGACAACAAGCCTAGGAGATTTTTTAAAATACTTATTTGTAGCCTAATGCAAATAATCATCAATAACCACTTAAATCACCAAAAACTCTTGATGATAATCCTACATAGTCTAGTTCTTCAAGTAAGTTAAGAGAGAAATCGGTATCACCAACTTATGCCTCTAGACAATCTAGAAATAATCAACCCTAAATCAAGAATGGAAGCAGAACACCTTCACCTAGTTATCATTCTAAGACATCAAGTGATATTTCTTCAATTCAGAAGAAATACTAGAATAATGATATCAGCTTGTTGACTCAAAACTAAGATTTGAACTAAGATGTCATTAATCGACTTTTCACCAATAGTAAAAAGGCCCAAGAATTGAAAGATAAAAAGAAAAGCTTGTTGATCTAAAAGGAATTAGATACCCTTCAAGAAAAGCCTTAGATTAGCGATAGATCTCATAAAATAGTAATGAATAATGTCAGATAGCATATGCCCATATACAGTCCAGAGCGATACACCTAAGAAGTATAGAGTTTAAAGACAAGATAAGAGTAAGCTGCTTAACTTAAACAGCTGTTGAATGAGTAGAAAGATCTTTAAGAAGAGGAAATGATGCTTAAGTTCAGTGCAAGCATAATGGGTAAAAAGATTAATCCCGATGAGTTCAAGCTTAAGTACGATTAGAAAATGAAATAGTGGGAGGCAAGAAAGATCTAAACACTAGAAAGCTATCAACCAGGAATTGGTGAAAGAAGTAAATCTCCTTCCTTTAAGCCTGAGATCAATAAGAAATCTAAGATCATTGCCTAGGATATTGAAAGACTTGATAAGAGAATTTAAGTACTATAAGATGGTAAAAAAAGGAAAATAGCAAAATTAACGACGATGCTATAACCCACTTTTACACCACAGATCAATAAAAATACAGATAAACTTCTTAATGAGAGTAAGATAAATCCAAGAGGACCTAGTCCAATTTAGAGCTATGTTAATAGAGATTAATCTTTCAAGAGAAATTACCAAAGAGTTATTACAAGGTCTACAAGTCCAGTTTCTCAAATTAACAGATAAATTAGTAGCAAGAACTTAAAATAATCATCGTCTCAGAATAAGTTACTATCTTCTAATTCTGCAAAAGATATAAAACAGAGCAGTACTTCATAGAGTAAATCACCCGCTCGAATAATATTTGTCTCTAGCAAGCCAAGCCAAAACCAAGCTAGCAGCTCATTAATATCACAGAAATAAAGTGTTTCTACTGTATAATCTATGGATCAAAATCCATTTTAACTTGCAAATTCAATACTTTAGAGTCCAATTAAATAAGAAGACACTATGATTAAACAGAGTGAGTCTAAAACCTAAATAGATTATATTAACTCTATTTAGAGTAGCACCTAGAATTTATAAAGATACATCAATGAAATTAATAGTAAGAACATAAGTTAAGTAGAAGGTGAATAACTAGTCCTTCTAAAGGAATATATGAAACTTAAAGAGTAGATAAATGTTTCATTATCTAGTCGCCCATCAAATAATAATAATGGTAACTCTGATTAGAAAAATAAAATTTTTTAAACTAAAAATCTATCTCAAGAAACACAAATAGTAAGCTAAAAGGTAGTAAAGAAGAACCAATACTTGCTATAGAATTAGTAATCCCCAATATGAAATAATTATGAAAACTCAATCGAGGTTAAAGCTAAATTATCATCAACAACAATTCCAAATTAATAGATTAATGAATAAACATAGAATGAAACTAGTCAAAGTATTAAGAAAGGCATAGAACCTTATAAGAATCATTTGACAAATAGCTATCAGTCTTTAGAAGTGCAGTAAATTTTAGAATAATCAAGATTAATCTAGTTTTAATAGCATCAGCAGGTGGGTGATTATAGTTAAGACCTTAATTTACAAAAAAATATTTAAACACACAAGTCGAATAACTCAAATTTAATCCAGTCTCCAGATCATCAATTCAGCACTTATAACATAGCAGCCGACTAGTCTATTTCATCTTGGTCAAGCCCTTTGAAAAATCAAGCTATAAATCGGCAACTCTAAAATAAGACCTTTGCACAGGTTAACTAAAAAGAAAAGTTGCATAAGTTTGAATACACTGAACCAAAAAATTAAAAAGATCACAGTCCTAGATAAGATTAAACTGAAAGTGTCCTTAATAATATAAGAGACTCAATAGAGCTCTTAAACAATAGAATTTAGCAAACAGCTGACTCACCAGACAGAGTAAAGGGCTCAAAAGATCTTTAAAAGGAGATTCAAAAGTTAAAGAGTCTAAAGTCTCATTTAATTCACAAGAAGTTTCAATCTGTTTCTCCTTCTAGGTCTGTGAAGTCTAACACCCTACTAACTGACTCTCATCTCAAAAATTCGAATCAACATGTCATGTCTAGAAGAAATTTAAAGCATGATACTGCTTAAAAAAATATGATACTATCTAAAAGTCAGGATAGCTTGTTCAAACTCTAGTAATGTGAGCCAATTTACTAATCGAAGCATAAATTTCAAAATAAGAGAGAGGATGAAAATGTTTAGGATCTTACAAGATCTTAAGAAAGAAGGAATCTAGCAAAGGATATTTCTTCACATAAGCCATTTGGCAAGCTATAAGATATTAATCAATTGCCCTCACTAGACTCTCCAGATAAATCAAGACTAGGCTTCAACAGCAACACACTAAATTCAAACTATAAAATAAAAATTGACTACTAATTTCAAAGTGAAAATTCTCCTGATAAGATAATTGAGGAGAATTCTTTTAATAATACACTTACATTTAGAGATAAAAGTTAGGGGAAGGTAAATGATACCAGCTCAGAACTGACCTTTAATTAAATATAGAAGTATCTGGATAGTGACACTAAAACTGCTCTAAGGCTAACAAGTTCATAGAGGAAATAAAAGAATTTATATGACTCGAAGTAGTACTTTGATACTGTTTAGTCTCGTTAGGTTGATATTATTAAAAAATTAGTGTAGAAAAATAGTCATTTTGGTAGGAATGACAGTATTTTAAGCGTTCCCAAAGAACTTTTAAATGAGATCGAAGAGTCTGGTTTAGATTCAATAACTATCCTTAAATCAGTAATCAATTAATTTGATCACCTTTTTGGGTAAAAAGAGAATTCTAAGAAATCTACGTAGAAAAATATGAAAGCAAATAACTCAATTCATTAGAATGCAAGTTCAAAGCAAAGAAAATTTGAGGAAGCTAATATGTTTACTTTAAACAATAAATGATTCTAATGTTGATATCTCAACCTAATAATATGAAATTATACTTAGTTTATTTTTTAATTTACGTTGCTTATATTCTAAGGGGTTTTGGGGTTTTGGGGAGATCGGAAGAGCACACGTC